TATAACCCCACGGCCGTCTGCATGCACCTCTAACCATCGACCCTCTTTTGCTGCTACAGATAAAAAACTGCTTCGCTCTGTACTCGCGATGAAAGGCAAACGCTGCTGTCTTGCTCGTACACCTGCAGCAACAAATAAAATTTATTTATTTATTTATTTATTTGTTTATTTATTTGTTTGTTTGTTTGTTTGTTTATTTGTTTATGCATTTGTTTGTTTATTTATTTAGGTTTTTGTTTTTTTTGTTTACGGTTTAGGGTTAAAATAAAAAATAAAAAAAAGGGAGAGGAGAGAAGAAGAATAAATAAATAAAGAAAACAAAACAAAGAGACGGGAAAAAATAAATAAATAAATAAATAAAATAAAATAAAATAAACAAACAAAACAAGATATACAGAGAAAAGGAGACAGACAAAGAAGAAACAAATAAAAAAATAAATAAAAAACAAATAAAATAAATCAACGACATAAATAAACAGATAAGGTAAACAAATAAAATATATAAATAGACAAACAAAATATATAAACAAACAAATAAATAAAAAATTTAAATAAATAAGTAAATAAATAAATAAACAAACAATAAAAATAAATAAATAAACAACTAAAATAAATAGATAAACAAAAAAAAAGAAATAAACAAATAGCAAATAAATAAACGAAAAACCAAGGAAAAAAAAACAATAAACAAACAACAAAAAAAACAAAAAAAATAAAATAAAATAAAATAAAATAAAATAAAAAAAAACAAAATACCTAAATGACTTAGAATAGGGAGCTCGTGAGCAACAAAGACAGCAGCAGCAAAAAGGCGGCCTGCAGCAACAGCAGAAATCTCTTCGTCTCCAGCAGCAGAGCGGCAGCAAAGTATCAACGGGGTGTATGTATCCTCCTCGCTGCTGCTGCTGCTGCTGCTGCTGCTGCTGCTGCTGCTGCTGTTGCTGTTGCTGCTGCTGTTGTTGCTGCTGCTGTTGCAGTTTGTGGTGCTGTTGGTAGTGCTGTTGGCGGTGCTGTCTTCGTCCATATTGCTGCTGTTGTTGCTGCTGTCCTTGTTGCTGCTGCTGCTGCTGCTGCTGCTGCTGCTGCTGCTGCTGCTGCTGCTGTTTGCTTTTACTATAGAGCGTATAGCCTCACTAAGAGTATCAGCAACAGTGACGCGGCCTGTGAAGGACCCCCCAACAAGAACATCAAAAAGGTTCATCTCCTCTTGCTGCTGCTGCTGCTGCTGCTGCTGCTGCGGCTGCTGCAGCAGCTGCTGCGGCTGCTGCAGCAGCTGCAGCTGCTGTCTTATAGCTCTCAGCAGCACCTGTGCTACCTTCGATAATTGAAATATAAGAGAGCTGCGTACTTTGCCTTCAGCGAATACATCGCACTGCATCTGCTGCTGCTCTTGCTGCTGCTGCTGCTGCTGCTGCTGCTGGTGCTGTCTATACACCCCGAGGTGACCCCACAGCGCAGCCACGCGGTGTACATACACCGCAAGCAGCAGGTCGGTGATGTCGCCACACAAACGCCGCGTTCGCTCCACCGTCGCCTTCAGCAGCAACAAACTCTCTTCATCGTCGACGCACACACGGCTGTGGCTCTGTAGCTCCTGTGCATGCACATACACAGGGTATAGATACATACATATATATATATATATATATATATATATATATA